AACTGAGTTCACATTGTGACTGATTTATTCTCAGTCTTCTTACACAGAGTAAATTGAAAGATGGGAACCATACTGAATAGATCCTCCCTTTTCGTTGAATATTAAGCCAGTTTGCCACATTTTCAGTCTTCAAAAACAAACAGTACTCTTTATACATTATCTCATTTAATAAGAGGCATGCCATTTTTTTCCATGTTTGCTTTATCTTTTTGAAAGGTGTGATTCCTTATTTAAAATCACACTTTTTATCTTGTTATAAGTGTACCTTCACACACACTGTAAGAAATAATCCAGAAGACATAGTACGCTCTCTACTCAGGTCCCCCCACTGGGAACGTCTTGCAGAACTATAGAGCAATGTCACAACTAGGAGAATGACATCTCTCTAGTTCAAGACAGAACTTTCCATCACCAGGAGGATCCCCCCTGTTGATTTTTTACAACTGTACCTACTTCCCTTTTGTTGTCAAATCTTCCTTAACCCTCGGGGAACCATTAATCTGTCCTTCTTCTATAATTTTGTCATTTCAGGACTATTAAATATATATATAGCATCATAGACTCAATGGACATGAGTTTGAGCAAACTCCAGGAGATAGTGAAGGACAGGGAGGTTTGGTGTGCTGCAGTCCATGGGGTCACAAAGAGTTGGACACAACTGAGCAACTGAACAACATATATATATATATATATATATATGGAATCACACAGTATATAAGCTTTCAGGACTGGCTTTTTTCACTTATCCCAAGATTCAAGTTGTTTTCTATGTCAGCTTTTTCTTTCTTTCCTTTTATTACTGACTAGTATTCCAGGTATGGATGTAGCACAGAATGTTTTCCCATTCATCCACTGAAAGATACCTAGGTTTTTTTCAGTTTTTGGCTATTATAAATGAAGCTGCTATAAAAATATGTGTATAGATGTTTGTGTGAACACAGAAATGCATTAGTTTCCCATTGTGGCTGTAACAAATTGTGTTCAGTCATGTCCAACTCTTCGCGACCCATGGACAGTAGCCCACCAGGCTCCTCCATCCATGGGATTTCCCAGGCAAGAGTACTGGAGTGGGTTGCCATTTCCACCTCCATGGGATCACCTAGATCCAGGGATTGAAACTGTGTGTCCTGCATTGGCAGGTGGATTCTTTGCCACTGAGCCACCTGGGAAGCCCAGATTTCTTCAAGCGTAATCTAAAAAACCCTCAAATATATTATTCTGTAGTTATGGAGATCAGAATTCTGAGTTCCTTCTGGAAGTTCCATGGGTGAATCTGATCTTGGCCTTCTCTTTCTGGAGCTGGCCAGCATTTCTATGCTCATAGCTACGTTCCAAGTGCTGCTTCCAACATCACAAGATCTTCTAACTCTGGCACTCCTTGTTGTTACGTCGCTAATTCATGTCCAACTCTTTTGTGACCCTGTGGACTGTCGCTTCTCTCTTATAAGGGCCTTTCTGATTTTATTGGACCCACTTGAATCATCCAAAATAATCTTTCCATCTCAACATCGCTAACTTAATCACAACTACAAAGACCCTTTTGCCAAGTAAGGTATCATGTTCACAAATGCCGGGGACTAGATTTAGTCAAAATATAGCAAAGCCATTATTTAGTCAACCACAAGTTTTCATTTCTTTGGGGTAGGTGCTCAAGAATGTAACTATCATTGGTGATCCCATGCTTAGCTTTATAGGAAACTGTTAAACTGTTTTCCATTAGGATTGTACTAGTTACAGTCCCACCAGTGATGTAAGGGTGATGCAGTTCTCCACTACAACTTTGCAAGCATTTGGTCACCTTTTTTAGTCATTCTGATAGGTGTGTAGTGATATCTCACCGTGATTTTAATTTGCATTTTTTTAATGGCAAAAGACACTGAACATCTTTTCAAATGCTTAATTACCATCTGTATACCCTCTTTGGTGAAACAGCTGCCCATGTCTTGTCTGCTTTATTTTTAAAGCAAATAACTAGAAGTGCTTCAGAAACTCTTTCACTAAGGCTGATAACAGAATTTATGGGTTCTTTGGGTAGGTTTTTGACCTGGATCTTTGAGGAAACTTAGGTGCAGTGATTCTAAAACTTAAAGATTGTGCTTCACAATCACCTGAGCTTGATAAAATACAACTTGCTGGGACCCATCTCCAGTTTCTGATTTTTTAACTATGGGGTGGCACCCTGGAGAACTGGCATTTCTAACAAACTCCCAGGTACCACTGATGCTTTTATCCCAGGATCATACTTTGATGTGCTTTAGGGAGACTTAGGGCTACTTGATGTTTTCTTTTGCCATTTCCTTGTCACAGTAAATTTCCCTGTAGTAAATATTACAATGAATGAAATACTTGTACTCCAAAGTGAAGTGCTTGGGGAGGGAAAAAAAAAAAAAGAGGACAGAGGTAAGGCAAAAGCACACAAAAATCAAACTGATCTCCCAGGGGCCGAAGAGTGGAACAATTTGAGCAACTAAATTAATTATGAAAGCACTGGATAAACATCCATGAGTCCCTGGTGATAGAAATACAGGACAAAGGTCAGATCTTCCCTGCACAGGAATTCCAAATACTCCAGGAGGGGAGCTTTAATTCCCTTCTCCTTGAGTATGGGCTGCATCTAACTACTCACCTCACAAGACTAGAGTATGGAAAGTGGAAGATACTAATTTTGCCATGGAAAACCTGGCATACACAGCTTTAGCCCAAATAACCAGGATTAACATGATCAATGTCAAGTCATACTGATGTCACAAGCTGCGATGTAATGAGATGAGGAAGGCACTGCACTTGTGGTATCATTTCCCTAAATCCATAATAACCCCAACCTTGTTGTTAGGTCACTAAGTTGTGTCCAACTCTTTTGTGACCCCAAGGATTGTAGCTGGCCAGGCTCCTCTGTTCGTGGGTTTTTCCAGGCAAAAATACTGGAGTGGGTTGCCATTTCCTTCTCCAGGGCATCTTCCGGCCCAGGGATCAAACCCACATCTCCTACATTAGCAGGTGGATTCTTTACCGCTGAGCCACCAACCCCCACCTAATTGTGAGACAACATCAGAACAACTCAATTTGAGGTTCATTCTATAAACATCTGCTCTATACTCTTCAAAACAGTGTCAAGGCCATGAGACTAGACCAAGAAACTCACAAACTGGGGGGAGACAACGAAGAAAAAGAATATTAGTGAAAAAAAAAAAAAAAGGAAATCCAGGTGGTCTGTAGCTAACAGTACTATAACAATGTCAGTTTCCTGGTTTAGATAAATGTAGTAACTGGTTAAGTAATACGTGTCTATTAGGGGAAGCTGGGAGAAGGATACAAAGAAATTCTTTGCAACACTTGTTAATCTACGGGTATTTCAAAATAAAGAAGTTCCCCACCCTAAAGTTTCTGACTTAGTATATATATGGTGGGTACCAAGAATTTTCATTTAAGTTTCCCCAGAGATGCTATTAGCCTAGGGAAACACTCTGGAATACACCGCTTTAGGAGAACCTTAGGGCTACTTGTTTTCTGCTTTTTCTTGTCACTGTAAATTTCTTTGCCTGGAAAATTCCACGGACAGAGGAGCCTAGTGGGCTACTGTCCGTGGCTTCCTAGACAGTCGGACGCCACTGAGTGACTGAGCAGGCGCACACATGAGAATGAAACAAAGTTGTTGACTTTCTGTTTCAAAGCAGGTTTTAATTGTTGGGCGGGTAGTGTTCTCCTCAGAGGTTGCTTTCACCTTAAGCATATTTAAGGATATCTTCCCTCTAAAAATGCATTAATCAACCCTCGAATTTTCCGTGCTTGGTTCCTTTATACTATGTTACTTAAAGATAACAAAAAGTCTTAGAAATTGCCTTAAATACTAGGGGAAATTCAAATAGTTTAAATGCTGCTACCTACGGAAGTTAATCTGGGCAATTACTATGCATACAAGGTTCATTACAATTTGTCTCTCACTATCCATCCTCTTTCTGATCTTTAAACTGAGCACATGGTCAATCAGAATGTGTCAAAAACATATCTTCGCAGCGGGGAAGCTGAGCTGACCTGAAAAATGCCTCTTGGCGGTGTATATGAAACACTGGACTCTCAAGATAGGATTCACCTCTATTATTCAGTGCTTCCAAAATATTGTTGCATTGTTAAACACAAAGTTAATCTTATAATTTAACAATTTTACACCTTATAACCTATCACTTATGCGACAGTTTTGAGCTAAGGATTTGGCCATTTAAGTTATTCCTTTACGTTAAGAGTCCACATTCACACGCGTTAGGCAAGGAGTCTTTGCCTTTAATGCAAAGACGTTAATTTTAACCAAACAGTCAAAATGCTGCAAATCAGTTCTTTTGGTTTTGCAGAAGAGTAACTTTCTCGGTTTCTCTTGAACCTTGAAACGTCTGTCCTTTTAGGATTGAAAAAGCGTTCTGCAACCATGCTTACCTTTCCCAAAGTAACTTTATTCATTCATCAAAATCATCGGCAGGGGGAACTCAGAGGGAACGGCAGAACATGAGTTATTCCTGCCATGCTCCTGGGGCTTGGCGAGAATGAACACTCGCCTGGGCACCCGCTATGTGCTATTAAGTGTCGGCGCCCAGAGTTCTAACACAGCCACTTGCGCTGCATGTGCTGGCTCCCGGCCGGGCCAGCAACTCGGTCCCGGAGGCGGCGGACTGCCCCCCGCAGGCCTCGGCTTTGGGGGCGGCTTGGGCCCGGCTCGGCTGCGGCGTTCCTACCAGGCAACCCTCACTTCGCGTCGGCCCCGCTCTAGAATCCCGGGGAACTCCGCCAGCCTCCCTGGCTAACTTCCTGTTCAGAATGCGCCGGATGCCGCCCCCCGACGCGCGCCCAGCGGCGTCAGAGCCGGACAGAAAGAAGGCACAGACGCGCCGCTGGAAGTTGGCGCTCGCAGCCTCCCTGGCGCGCTCCCACCGCGGCGCCTGCGCCAAGAGGCCGACCGAGCGGGCCCGTCTCCGATGACGTGGCGAGGCGGGGGCGGAGCCAAGGTCGGCGGCGGGAGGGTGGGGGAGGAAGAGCGAGGTGAGCGCGGACGTCAGAGTGGAGAGCGGAAGGTCAGGGAGGCTCGGAGCGGAAGTGAGACCAGGGAGTCTGTCCGCCATTGTGGACCCGAGAAGCGAAGAGCGAGAGGGGAAGAGGAGCGTGCAAGCGGAAGAGACGAGCCCCTTCCACCAACTCCCGAGCGCGAGGCCGTCTTTCTGGCTTCTCAGCGAGCGGCGGCGGCAGGAAAAGCCTCTCGGCCGAGGGCGGCAGCCAACTGCTGTGAGTGCACGGGGAGAGGCCCAGGCGGCGGCGGCGGCGGTAGCAGCAGCAGCAGCAGCAGCTCTCGGGTTGCGGTGAAGAATGTCAGCCACTAGCGTGGATCAGGTGAGGGAGCAGAGGCCGCAGGCTTGGCTAAGGCCCGAGCCGCGGAGCTCCACCCTCGCTTGGGCTTCGGCTCCTCCCTGTCGCCGCCGCTGCCCGGCCCGTAACGGTGCCCGGGGCGCAAGTTGCTGCGGTCTCGCAGCCCGGGCCGGGGCGTGCTCCGTGGCCCCGGAGCCTGCTGCCCGGGCGGGCGGCCGCGGAGGGTGCGGGCAGGACTGCGCTCCGGGGCCTTCGGACGCGCCCCGAGGGCGGCAGACGCGGGGCTGAGAACGAGCGAGCCCGGGGAGACGGCTTCCGAGTGGCGGCTGGGAGGTTTCAGGACCGGGATTGTGGGGAGATCGGTGGCGATGGAGGATGTGGTGGGTTTCACTCCTACGCGGATTGTTTAAAATAACTTGTCTCCGGTAACGTCTCGGGTTAACACACTTTTCCTCTCCCCCCCCTTTTTTCCTTCTTATTACTACACCTTTCATCTTGCTACACAGAGACCTAAAGGACAAGGAAATAAAGGTGAGTTCGGATATTTTTTATCTTCTCATTGTTAGTTTGATGATACTTTTAAAGTACGTGAAAACCTTTTTGTTTTGATCTTTTTTTTTTGGAAATGCAGGATTAGAAAGAGTTCATCACAGCTAAGACAGCCAAATGCTGTCTTGAAACTTTGGTAGTTCCTTGCTTTGAAGCCAATTTTATAGGAATCCAAAGGATACAAGTAACAGTTTCATTAGTTGTACTTCACTTAAGGAGGTATTGGTTATGAATTGTAGTGACATTTATTTAATTTTAGTTTGTTTTATGTAAATTCTGCAGATTCAACAAATGCATGTAGATAGGTGGACATTTTCTTCGACATCTCATGTCGAAACATGCAACCCACATAATTTTTCTGTTACATTGGTGAAAATTGTATTGTTAATCAGTGGTTCTGTTGAAGTCAGTTACACTGAGGCAATAGCCTGTTAGAGATCAGAACTGAGCAGGCATGTCATGTTGCTGTTAGCCCTGAAATGTTTGACTCAATATGGTATTTTAGAAATGACTGAGAAGGAAATAATTTGTGAGGTTCCTGCCAGGATTATGTGGTTTACTCTTTAGTTAGAAGGGAAAAAAGTAACATTGAAAGTCAAGCATTTTTAAAAATGAGTGTATTTTTTATTTATTAATATGGAACAATACAGTCAGCTGACTGAAACATGACATTAATCATGTGACATTTGTAAGTGTAGAACAATAACTGCTTTCTTGGGACAGTGCCAATTAAATAACATTGCAGTGAACTATGTATTTGTTACATTTTATAATAGGTCTTGAAATTAGACTAAACAGATTGAAGCTTCCTGTTTTTTATTTCTATTGCAAAGTATTGCCTATTAGGTAAGATCTGCAGAGCCTTTTAGATGTAAATTCAATATTTTTATTAGTGCCCTTTTTATTCTTAGGATTATTATTAGCTATTTCAATAAATTTGAAAGGATTGAGTTCCTTATACACAGTTTAGTTAATTTTCTTGAGTTGTACAATTTCTTGACAATTTTTGCATGCTAGATAATGGCACTAGGTAATAAATTCATTGCTTCATTTTGATTATATATAAACAGCAGTTTTAATTTTTAGACTAATTTTAATTTTAGAATTATTTTCTGTGTTGCAAGCATAAAGCTCACAATTTGATATTGATTTATGTGAGTTTTAAAAAATTGGTTTCAAAATTTAGAGAGAATGATCCATTAATTTCTTTTGTGCTGGTCTGCCCATTAGAAAGACTTGGACATATGTGAAATCTGTGGTCATTATTGCCTGGCATAAATTATTTTATCCTAGATCTGTGGGGAGGTGGCACTTTGCAAGGCTTTTTGAAATGCTAAGTGTTTTGTGTTACCTGCTTTAAGGTAAGTGTGCAAGTTCTATGAAGTACTTGTCTGACAAAACAAAAGAGTATCTCCAGCATTGTAAACCATTACTGTATTACTATAAGTATGATTTGTGACGTAGTCATTTAACTTAGGTGTGTCCTTATGGCATCACTGATACTAGAGATATAAATTTTCTATAAACAAAATTGTGTATTGACTACAAATATTTTAGGTTATTAAAATTATTTTCATCTATCAGTATCACCTCTGTTAGATATATTTAGACACACATACAAGTATTTATTTGTATAAATGTTTATTCAAAGAAATTTTCTTTCTTACTATTCAGTTCACAGTTTTACCCATGGATCCAGTAGTCTAGGATCCCTAGGAGACCTGTGTTCTAATACTGCCTATGGCCACTGACTTGCCAAGTGATCTTGAGCACATTACACCTCTTGGTTAGAATTTCCCCTCTCCCTGTTAAATAAAAGTAATAATTCTGGCCTTGAATCCTGTTGTATGTTTTGAGAGTTGTAGTTAAAATAGCCCACCACTTTAGTAGCCATTGTATTTGCTGCCTCACCTAATCTGTTGTTAAGGTGCAGGAAAGCTGTTGCCTAAGACATGGCAGAGGGAAAAAAATCTACTGGCCTAAAAGTATTCATAATGACTTAAGATGCTTCTGGGGCTTCCTTGGTGATTCAGACAGTAAAGAATCTGCTTGCAATGCAGGAGACACGGGTTCGTTCCCTGGTCAGGAAGATCCCCCAGAGAAGGGAATGGCTACCCACTCCAGTATTCTTGCCTGGAGAATTCCGTGGACAGAGGAGCCTGGTGGGCTACAGTCCATAAAGTCGCAAAAGAGTTGGACACAACTGAGCAACTAACACATAAGATGCTGTAAATTGGTGGATACTCCCAAGTACACAGATACACATATACATTACTTGTATTTTTATGCCTCTGTGGGGAGAATTAAGAAAGCAGCACCTCCAGCAAACTGATAACTCTGAGTAACTGTGTTTGAAAAAAGCTGCTCTGCGTTAGTTAACTTGGTTTTCAAGCTAGTAAAATCGTTTTATATTTATTTTGTTTATTTTTATGAAGCAGAAAGACTTCCCTTGAACTAAGGCCCAGTATTCTAAGGATGAGTATGAAAGTTAAATTCAAGACTTAACACACTTACAAAAAATGCATGTCTCTGAGGAATTATCAAAGTTTTGAAAAGCATATTCCTTTTTAGTTGACTTAGTATGATTTCAGGGACTGTGAATTTCCTTTCTTAATAGTCTTCAGTTGACAGCATCAGCCTAATACCTGGCTTTATTGTCTTGATTTTCTACTGAGTATTTTTCTGTATGTCCTTAAATGCACTGAAGGAGCGAAAATTTGCAAAGAATTCTGTATCACTCTCTTTGTAAGGCAAAAATGCTTTTGTAGCATAAATAACACTGTTGAGTTGACTTGTTTATAAGTTGAAATTCTTTTTAATTTCTAGATTGTCACTGTGTTAAGTATTAGAACTGTTACTCTTGGCCAGGGTAGAACTGCAGGATAGTAGAGAGAGATTTAAGGATAATTGTGTACCTATTGGCCCATAATTTAAGGCTGACTTAATATCATTTTATTTATTAACAAGCTGAATTTTTGCTTGCTGGAATAAAAGTGTATATATTTTTAAAAAGTGTATTAAAGTGTTTCCTTTCCCTGCAGGCACCACAGATAAAAAGTGTCAGATCCCAGGCTCCTTGTAGCCTCAGGCCTAGCTGCCTGCTTCCTCCTTTCCCTTAAGTTTAAAAATAGGCAAATATTTGGAAAGGAATTTATCTTTTCCATCCTTTCCTTTCCTACCCCTCCAAACAGAGGGAAATGCTCGTTTGGTACCACAATTTTAAAAAATTAGGCTAAATTTGACTATTTTTTAGTGTTTCAGAAAAGCAATGGAAAATGCCTTGTATTTTGGCAATATCTTTTATATCCTCTCCCCTCACTACCCCCTCTGGAAATGGTTGCAAAGCAGTTACTGTTGTTATAGGCTTCATTTTATTAATCCTCAAAACATCCCTAAAAGGAGATAGAGGGTATATGGTATTGTCCCTGTTTTTATAGGTGGGGAAACATGATGCACAGATCTGTTGACTTTCCTAACTTGATGTAGTCAGGACCAGAGCAAAGAATCACCTGACTTCTAAGGCCCATGTTCTATCTTGATTTGACTCTGCTTCATAGAGCAGAGGAAACAGGCGAAGAATCATGTAAGTCATCTGTTCTTTTTTCCCTGAAGAACTTGTACAGACTACAGAATTGGCTGGGATTTCATTACTTTTTAATGGCTTTCGGTCTCCAAGACATTAGACTGTCATTAAGTGATGTTCAAAACTTAAAGTCTTTAAGACAATTGAATTTCCTAAAGAAAGGTGTGCTTCTGAGACTCAAGGCCTAGCTTCTTACTCAGATTCTAATTTGATGCAAATTGCTTATCAGTATGAGTGAAATACTTGAAACAAAACATTTTTTTCCTTAGATTGACATAGTCCATTGATAATCTTTTAGGACTTCTTAGACATTTTCATGCATCATTTATAAAAGACTGGATTGTATTTATTTAGTGCTGTATTTAGTGTATGAGAATATTTTCTTAGTCTCAGCCTTGTAGAAGAAGAGAAAGAACAGGAAATGAGTAAGAATAGTAGTATATATTTAGGTTAATTTTAAGCAGGTACTTTAAAAAAAACTTTTAGCAGTGTAAAATAACTTTCTGAGACTCTATAATGAGTATAAGTGATAAATAGTTGTAATTTCATACTAGGTAGCTGTTTCAGGTACTGTCAAATACATACCAGTGACACATAAGTACCAGTCCAGGAGTGTGGTGAAGACATGTTTTTCAGATTAATGAATCAGGCATAACTAGCTTTTTGATAAAGGAGTGGTAAAGAGCAGATACATTAGAATCTCTTGGGCTGAAATGATTAGTCTACCAGAAATAACTTAAAGTACCCTCCACTTTAATTTTGTTTCTAGTAGTTGTTACATATTTAAATCCTGGGGAGCACATTCAGCTCAGCTTTGGCATTGATACAGTCCTTTTCAAATACAGTTAAACCACCTCAGTGGAGCCAGGATCATGGTGACCTTCAGGTTTCTCTTAGAGGCTTTGAGGGGCAGTGGAGAATTCATGAGAGGTCTACTTTGAAGGCTTAAGAGAACAGTAGTTTTTGAGTGATCATTGGTACCCAGGATGGCAAAAAACAAGGGATTTTTTCTAGCTTTGCTCCCATGTCTCTGTCAACTTGTATATTTCGTTTAGGTCCCTAAACTTGTTGGAATAATTAGGGAAAATAGAGATGCTGTTATATAAGAACACACAACTTAAATCCATTGCTCCTAACCTTAATTTATAATATTTTATATTTAATGGTTATACTTAAAAATACATTGTATTTTCAGCAATAAATCATCAGGTATTGAAGGGCTTTATTTTGTTCCTAAGAGATTAGTCAGTTAGTCGTAAACTTGTTAATGTGGTCCTAAAGTAATTTTTAGTCCTATTTGGATCTTGTAATATTTTATGTAATAATAATATCCAAGATTATTAAATACTGTCATTGAATACTCAGATGAGATGAAGTAGGTACTATTAATAACTTCCTTGAACAGGGAAGTAGAGTTAGAGAGGCTAAGTTATTAACTTGAGATCTCCCAGCCTCTCAAGGTTGGATTTGGAACTCACACCCAGGGCCTTTTTACCACCTTGAGTCTGTGCTTAAGAGTCCTGAGACAGTTTCTTGAACAGCAGCTTCATACAGAGCATTGATGGAAGTGATCTCTGAACAAATATGGCATTATAAATCAGCCTCTAACTGGTGTTTTCATATGTTGCAAGAATATTATGGTTATCTTCAGTGTCTTAGTTTTATTTGTAATTTCTTGTAAAAGTCTTCATTGTTTATTGTTTAGTGTTAAGGCCCTTTTTATTTAGGTTTTTTATGATATTTTATTGTGATACTGCTTGAAGTGAATTTTTAACTGGAGATACTTAAGAAACTTATTTTAACTTTGGTTACCAAACAAGGTTATTTATTTATCTTTATTGGACTGAATAGTTACAGTGATTTAGCAAAGGTAGATAACATTCAGAAATCTATCTTCTCAACAACACTGCCTGAAGTGGTTATTTTAGATTCAAATATAGCATTAGCACACCCTTCCAACATTTAAATTTAACTGTTTGCTTACTACAGTGTTGAAATTGAGATGTTTATCTTATGTTTTTAGTAGTGGGAAGTGAATATATATATAGTTTGTGTTTATGGGATCTTGGGCTTATATATACAAGATTTGTAAGTTTTTGGTGCTACAGAAATATTTATATCCAAAATTAAGTTCATCCTTAAGGGGGTTTTTAAATGAAAAGAACAAAGAACTAAGGATAATTTTTTCCAAGCTGACTTGAAAAATACTGAAAATATTAGGTTATTCTGTGAGTTTCATATAGATAATTACAATATATCTAATACAAACGTATTTTTTAGTTTCAGTACAAAACGGTTCGATTCATCAAAAAGATGCTGTAAATGATGATGATTTTGAGCCATACTTAAGTAGCCAGACAAATCAGGTAAGTCTGACAGTCCCATGTTTAGGAAATGAAACAATATTTATTGATTTTTTAAAATAGATGTTTTAATTGAATGAGAGGAACTATATCATGTATTAATATAGTGTGCCTACATAATAGTGAATAACAGTTGCAGGTTTATGACACAGGAGAGTCCTTTGGAAATTGTAGATGGCTAAAACTCAGTTATGAAATTTAAAGATTTAAAGATGAGCTTTTGTATATATTGTGGTTAGATTGACTGTTGAATTTAATCTTTCAATGCTGCTGCCATGTCTTCATAGCCAAAGCAAATGACAAGGTTTAATTAGAAATTTTGGGGCGAGGACAGTTTGTACCTGAAATTTTTGGTTAGTATATTTAAAATTTTTATTTAACCTGATAATAAGGAATAGAATTAAAGATATGATAAACACACTTGCCTTATATATTGTAAGCATAGAGAATTTCATCAAATCAAGTAACTAGTGTCTTTTGAGGTTCTTTGTTTGAATTTTTCACAAATAATCTTGTGAATTTGTATACAGGAATAATTTAGACTTAAACATTGACCAAACTGAATGATATTCTTTAGTCTCTGTATTCCGTTTCTGCATCTCTGTTAATGAAAATATCACTACTGGAAATTTAACAAATAAGCTTTCATTATTAACCAGTTTCTTTAGAGACAACATTTTGGAACAAAACTACTTTTGTTAATTTTCCTTACAAAAAGATGCATGAAAAAATGTACCTTGAAATATTACCCTAGATTGTTTTTAAACTTAATAAAAGAACAAGGAACCAAATATTGTTATAGAACTCTGCAATTGCAGAGAAAATTTCAACAAAAAGTAGTTCCCAATTTGTGGAATACATGATTATTTTTAGGACTCTGGAGAACTATGGTTATGTTCAACCTAATCTATGTTTATTTCTCTCTAACACTCCCTTCTGTCAGTTGATCTACATCCCTCGAGTATGTTGAGAGGGAATAAATAAATGAGAAAAAATAAAAATGAGTGATAAAATTTACATTTTTTTAGAAGTTTGGCTACTTCTAAAAAAAAATGAAAAAAATTATTTCATGCTTATGTAATCTAACTTTGTGATCTCAGTAACAAACCTACTTTCCACCTATAGGTGTGAAAGAATGTATCACTGGAAAGTAGGGGAAGATCATTTGTTGGGGGGTGTAGTGAAGGTTTTAAACGAAATAAACAGTACTGTGTTCTGTTTGGGCCCAGACAGTAATCTCAGTTAACATCCCTTGTGGCAGTGTTTCCAATTTTTTGAGAAATTCTGATAGAGTTATAGTAGATCCTTTGCTAACAAGGTCTCCATTGTTAGAAAAGTTTGGGAAATTTATTTGGCTTAAATAATTGAATTGTTTTTTGCTACTTGATTTTATACTTTGTGTGTTATAATGTAAAATAGAATGTCTAAGGAAGGGTACAGTATGAGTATTTTCTGAAATATTTGTTCAAACTTTATTTTCAAGAAATTTTAATGGATTATAAATGTTTGAGAATTGCTGCCTGTAAGAATCTTCTTGTTTTATTTGGTAACAGATATTTCATAATTTATTTGTCACAGGGACTTAGAAGATTGGTTTTTTGGCATTCCACAGAGATGCTTCAGGTCTGCCTAGGGGAGACCTGGGGAGGGTAACCTGGATCCCACCTGTGTAGCAACCAGAGCTGTGCTTTGCATTTTATGTGTTTTATATGTTGGAATTCTGCATACAATTTCACATAAAGCATTGAAAAGTCATTGTTTTTTTTTTTTTTAAGACTGTAAGGGCATTTACATTAGTGAATCCAGTTTTTAAATTGTATCATAAAAGTTTCCTTATGTTGGGACAAAACATCTATAAAAAGTTTATTTTAATGTGATGTTTAAATGAAAGGTCTTATGATTTCTATGAATTTAATCACTTAAATCAACGATGAATCAATGTAATGTGCTATTTAAAGAGATGTCTTAAAAGTTGGATACCAGTGAGACTATATTTTACCACCTCCTTCTTGCCAATACTAATGAATAGGTTTTTACCAGTTACCTTTCTGTAATAACTAAAAGTAATGATCTAATCAGGGTAAATGGTACTAATACTTCCCTGGTGGCTCAGCAGGTAAAAGAATCCACCCACCAATGCAGGAGACATGGGTTTGATCCCTGGGTTGTGAATGTCCCCTGGAAAAGGAAATGACAAGTCACCCAGTATTCTTGCCTGGGAAATCCCATAGTCAGAGGAGCCTGGGGGGCTAGAGCCCCTGGGGTTGTAAAGAGTCTGCTACGACTTAGCAACTGAGCATGAGCGTGAACACTATAGAATATTGAAAACTGGCTTTATTGGAGAGCAAAATTGAACATTATCTGAAATCTTAAAGATAAGCCTTACAAAATTTAAATTTGTTGTGATTACTTAGCTGAAATAGAAAATACTTTACAAATTGACCTTTTAAAGTAGATTAGTGAAAACTTCTATTGGTGAAATATTTGAAGTAATTATTTGGAGATTTAAAGTTATGCAAGTATTTATAGCTTCTTGCACTAACCTAGCCAAAATAATTGTTTAATTAAATTTTCAACGAAAAGCACAGTATGTCTTTAAAATGAAATCCCTTCATCTGATTTTGCTATTATAAATAATAAAAATTATATTCTTTAGTCTGGAAAGGTTTTTAATGTTTGTTTTATATACTTAGAGCGAAATCAGTTCAAACTCAAGGTTGCTTTAAAAACAGATTGTTGGTCTTTTACTTCTGTGACAGTGTATTTCTTCTATTTTCCTAGTGCTCAATATCTTAGAAAATAATTTTCATAGTAGTTTAAAAAGTAAATGTCCTTCAAGACTTAAAATTAGTTCTCTATAGTTCCTCGAAATAGTCTAACGAGGAAGTTGATTGAAAATTCAGGTTTAATTACTGTTAAGAGATGCCATGTGATTTATGCATATAAATTTGAAGAATAAATTGAAAAACACCAAAGTTTGAATTTGTCTGCTTGTGTATATATATATATATATGGGGAAATAAATTCCTAGCTGTGTTGATCAGAGAAGAGGTATAGAGAACTAAGAACATAAAATATCTTTTTCTGTCCCTGTTGTTACTGCCCTTAGGTAAGGTTTTCATTATCTCTGCCTGTTGGAATGACTTCCTGACTGGGGATTCCATATTGCCACCCAGTGGTCTTAAAGTCGTAGTCTGTTGCCATAGTCCTGTTTAAAGACTTAAGCAAAGTTTCACCACAGTGGATATATTCATAGTGCCGTTAAAGTGGCTCCATTCTGTCCCTGACTCATCTTTGGCCAACTTATCCATCTACATTATCTAGGGAATAGGACTTATTTTCTGAAAACCTAAATATTTTCTGAATATTTTTTTTCATGATCTCAAACTTTTTATCTCTATGTATGATTTACACACGCACAGTCTCATATATCTATCACTTAGTGAAGTCTGCTGATTTTCCCAGTTAGTTGCTCCCTCTTGTTTATACTCAAGTGTTTTGTTTTGCTTTGTTCTCATTTCTGTAACTGTCCTTCCTAGATTGTCTTCCCTCCTAGAATTCTTCCCTCCTAAACGTGTGAAATGCTCTAGGCCAAAGACCATCTTTTTCTGTCCGTCTCCAGTGACTGGCACTATATCTGGCATGTAGCAGGATTCATTAAGTATTTATTGAATAAGTAGATTAGGTTAACTGCTAGAATTAAGGAATGAAGAAGTATTGTTGGTGAAATATTGAGATTAATTGAGTATAATGTATAATGCTACATCTTCTTATGACATCTATGTGATTACATTTGCATGTATTACACTTTTTAAGAAGTATAATAATATTTTTAAAATAATAAAATTCACATACACATTAAAAGTATATTAAACTCAACTTTTTGTTGTTAATCCAGTAAGTTAGTTCTGGAGTTTTAAGTACCTCAAGTTCTTAATGGATAACAGTTTTCTCTGCAGACATCCTGTTAGTGGTGAATAATACTTTAACCTTTTTTGTATTGACCAAGACATTGTACAGTATTCTCTTGGAAGTTTGGATATTTATGAAGTAAAAATTGGTATTAAGTTGGTATAACTGAAAGACTCAGTTATAATTGAGTTGTACTGAAGTGCCCTCAGGTCAGAACAGTAATCATGAATTTTTTCTTACTGTTGTTCAAACTTTGTTTGAGATAATAGAAAACAATTGCCCTATATCACAAGGCTAAGAAATGATAACTATAAATGATTGAAATTCTAAGGAAGAATTTTTAATCTTTTCTGTATTTGTTTTCAAATTAAAATAAGATTAACTCCTATACTTTAGCACTTTGCAATTAACAAGTAGATTTTTTTAATTTGTAATTGGTTAGAGCAGCAGGTGTTATCCCATTTACCAATGAAGGAACAAGGTTAGAGAAATTAAATTGATCTGATGATCACTGACGTAGAAACTGGTAGAGAATTGAACCTACTATGTCCTTGATTACAATTACTGTGTCATACCATGACTATACTCTTAAGATCCAGGCTAGTCAATTTGCGTGAAATTATATGCATTTGCTGATTAATTTACATTTTAAACTTATATTTTCAAAAGGCAAGTTAAATTGTATTAATAAATACAACTATTGTTGATTGACTAGTTAGTGTGTCCTAGGTACCTTATTTTTATTTCTTTCAATATTTGAGAGAACTCAAGTGTTTAAATAGCTTGATATTGGTTTTACATAACTGATGAGTACTGGATTGGGATTAGAATTTAGATTAGATACCTCCTCGCATCACATCTACCTTATATAATTAAATGGTCTCTCTCCAGATTGTATGTCTGAGTTTATGCTTTAGGTAAAGGGTTTGTGGATCTGTTACTTTACAAGTATGTTTCATTATTTCCATTGAATATTATATCAATTTTTGTATGTGCATATTGTTATCTTCCTGTTTCCAATTAGTTCTTGAGTAAGAAATACCAAACATTTCACATCACTTTGTTTAGAGGTCATGTATCTTTAAACAACAAAGTGAAACTTCACTACGAATAAGCTATTTTAAAGTGATTATTTGGACATAAACTGTTAAATTAATTATGCCTCATTGTACCAGATTTGAAGTAAAAGGTGAAAGATAGTTTTGAGTTATTGTTTTCCATCATCAGTAGGTGGGAATTTTGTTCCCCTTCTTTACCCAGGGTACTTTCTCCTAATTGATACTCCACTTAGCAATTAAGAATTTACCTTATATTTGGCAAAACATTTAAAAATATTTCCAGTTATAACCAAAGCTCTGCTAATACAAAATGTGTTTACTGTATCTTACTTTTAAACTTTGAATAGTTTCCCAGAACTTTGTTTTCTCTAGAACCCAAACTGAAACACTAGCCTGATAAGGAGACTGCTTAAGTTTTTCTTTCACAGAGTTAAGAAAAAAGCTTCTCTTTCAGCTATAACTACCGAAAGAATTAGGAATTAGCATTGTTTGGTCAACTGGAGAGAGTAGGCCATGTATGTATTGTGCTCATTGGGGATAGCTCTGGAGTGAGGTGTGGACAGCTGTGCCTCTCTGCTGACTAGCCTGAGCTGTCTAACAAGACACTTGCAATTAATGGGGCACATTTTAAAGTAATTTAAACTTAGGATTTTGACACAATCACTAATTTAGGGGTGAAGTAAAACTCATGATTCAAAAATAATTATATTTAATAAAAATCTCCACACCAAAAGTGTTTGGACCTGGTCCAGCCCCAGAAGTGAAAGAAATGGCAAAAATTTGTTACCCACTGAATCTAATGGTACAGGTTTTTGGTTTTTTTTTTAAAATAGGAATCAGTATAAATAGATAATCTATTAAAACCAGGTTTGACAAACTGATCCAGGGACCAAAACCTGTTTTCTTTGAGGAAACCCTTGAGCTGGCAGCTTTTTAAAGGGTTATAAAAAGATGAATATGTGACTGCAACCAGAGGCTGTATTTGGCTTGTTAAGCTTAAAATATTTGCTCACTGGCTCTTCAGTTTGCTAATACCTGAATCATGTGACATGTATAGACACATTAGCAACTTGATATGTAACTGTTGTGCAGAATTTAGCATTTGTGAGGGTAAAGAAAGAATACTCAATATAATTTATGAGTATGATTTTGCAAACACTTTTATCATGAAGAATGAGCTTCAAAGCTTTTCACTTTGTTTTTCCACTCCCACATCCAGGTAAGGATGTACTGAGTCCAGATTTCAGGCTAACATTCTAAATTAAAACTTTGAAAGTGATTACCTGCGTATTCTTTATCTCTCTTACTCCCTTGTGTGAAATATATTCCACTTCCCTGTGCAATGTGTCTTCTTAACTGTAGGTTTTCCTTTAGAATGAATATCTTATGTCAGTATTTTTTACAATGTAGACTTTTAGTAAGTGTTTGGTTAGAATAAATAATAAAGTAATAAAGGGAATTATTTTAATAACTTCAAAAAGTTTAAAAATTAAAATCTTGATTATTTATATTGGCTAAACTTAGGCTTTCTCAAGTGACTTCAGTATGAAGTACTGTGAATACTTTCAACAAGTAATTTACTGATTGAATTATAAACACAGATGTGAGTGTATCCATGGCTAATGAAGTTTGCTCATTATCCTTCAAGAATTTTATTTTTTTAATCAAACCACTGTTGGTGATTTTTCAGCATTCTTGAGGCTTCATTTCCTTCATGCTAATATTATGAGAATTTTTTGAATATATTTTCAGATATGGTTAATAATTATCTAAAAACTATATTAGTAAATAGTTGACACACATATTTCCAGTTTTGAATATAGTGGAATTTACTTAATATCAAATATATTTAGTCTTTTTTTTTTTCTTTAAATATTGCTAAATCACAGTTGTTTTTTGTTTTTAAGTTCATGTTTAACTGGAAATACTTGGTAAATCTATGTCTTTTAAATGCAACCTTTATTTGATTCTCTTGTTATTTTCATTTAATTGTATCAGAATTATTTCAAAAGACAATATTAAATTAGCTTTCTTATAGATAGTGTAAAGTTTTAATAGTTGTGAGGTATATATCATAGATACCTTAATAATAATAGTAAAGCATTTTAACTTTTAGTAATAGGCCTTTTAAAAAATAAAATGAAGTCCAGGTAGTATCTATGATGTGATTGTCACACATTTGTGTTGATACTCTTTCTTGAGTGGGAAAACAGCGACAGGAATAATCCCAAGAGAGTAACAGCCCTTCCCACTCCCATCCCCCCAAAAAAATGCACTTTGCTCCATCACCTTCTCCACTTTGCTCCAGGAAACTTAGAGTGTCAAGTGTATAATTTTCAAAATGGTATTGACTCTTGTGAAGGAATACAAATTGTCTCAACTGGATATTAGCTTAATTTTTTCATCTTGATGAATTTTACAAAATTTAAAGCTCTGTTCAAGGCTTTAAAAGTCACACCCAAAATATAGAGTGAAAATCTGTTACAGATTGTCCCTTGGGGGAATTTGTTTCAGGACCCTGCTGATAACAAAATTCACAGGTACTCAAGTCCCTAATGGCATCTGTACCATATAACCTATGCACAACCTCCTCTATACTTCACATCACCTCCACATTACTGATAATACCAAATAAAATGTAAATGCCATCTAAACATGCTGCCCATGTGCCAAATTCAGGTTTTGCTTTTTGAAACTTAGTGAAAAACTTTTTTTTCCTGAGTGTTTTTGTGCCATGGTTGGTTAAATCCATGGATGCAAAACCTGTGGACTGGAGGGCTGACTGTGTTAGACAGATTTGGGGCACAAGAAACCTACCTTCAAAAGAAATCCATAGACTTTTATTTTTTACATTGGCTAGTTAACAAATTTGAGTTTTTTCTTTAATAAGCTTTGAATTTTGACATCACTAAATGAATGATTAGTTCACATTTTATTCAAAATAAAGGCCAATTTAGTTACAGTAATTCTGGAAAAAATGGTAGGAACTTAACTATTTCTAAGTTAAAATTCTGATCAGGAAGTTGGTAAATTTACTGTGTAAAATTTATTTTTTTTAATTATTTATTATTTTTTGGGGCTGCATTGCATAGCATGTGGGGTCTTAGTTCCCCCATCAGGGGTTGAACCTGTTCCCCCTGCCTTGGGAGTGCGGAGTCTTAGCCACTGGACCACCACCGTATTATGTAAAATTTAAAACATAGAGAATAAGAAAAGCGGTACCTGTTACCAACCATTAAGAAACTATTAAGAGTTTCATTTTCAGAATGAGCAAGGCAAAACTAAATATGGATTTGTATAATATTAAGTCTTTTTTTGTTTCTTCTCGTGCGAACATTTCTGTTTTTTATAAAAATACAAAATTGCTGAACTGGATTCCATCATAGATACACTGTCCTCTATCATTTGGCATCATTTCTGTGTTCATTTAATCCTTACTCATAAATTTTTTGATACATCAGTTGCTTAAAATAAAGCCAAGAATCAAGTGTTTCTGCAAAGTTTATAAATCAAGTTTTTGTAGAAATTAAGAGTGTTTTTAAATTGTGCCCAGAGGATCTGGGTCTTATACAAAAATAATCCCCATCTTAACCTCCCACCCCCCCCCCAAAACCCTGTAATTTTATTATAGATATATTAAAGTAGTCATCAGTAAACTTTTCTCTTGATAAAATCAGATTTAAATTTTTAATTTTTTTTTAATCTGAAACAGGTACATCTGTTTCCCATTTATTTAAAACAATTTGGTTTTAGGGATGTTCCCCTCCCCCCACATCTTACGTCACTCCTGACTGTGATCTTTTGTTTTCCAGAATAACAGCTATCCACCAATGTCAGATCCATACATGCCTAGTTACTATGCTCCATCCATTGGATTTCCATATTCGCTTGGGGAAGCAGCATGGTCCACAGCTGGAGACCAGCCTATGCCATATCTGACAACCTATGGACAGATGAGTAATGGAGAGCATCATTATATACCGGACGGTGTGTTTAGTCAGCCTGGGGCATTAGGAAATACCCCTCCATTTCTTGGTCAACATGGATTTAACTTTTTTCCTGGTAATGCTGATTTCTCTACATGGGGGACAAGTGGATCTCAGGGACAATCAACACAAAGTTCTGCTTATAGTAGCAGTTATGGTTATCCACCTAGTTCTCTTGGGAGAGCTATTACTGATGGACAGGCTGGATTTGGCAATGATACTTTGAGCAAGGTGCCTGGCATTAGCAGTATCGAGCAAGGCATGACCGGACTGAAAATTGGTGGTGACCTGACCGCTGCAGTGACGAAAACTGTAGGAACAGCATTGAGCAGCAGTGGTATGACCAGCATCGCAACCAATAGTGTGCCCCCGGTTAGCAGTGCGGCTCCGAAACCCACCTCCTGGGCAGCCATTGCCAGAAAGCCCGCCAAACCTCAACCGAAACTTAAACCCAAGGGCAATGTGGGCATCGGGGGTTCCGCTGTGCCGCCACCTCCTATAAAACACAACATGAATATTGGAACTTGGGATGAAAAGGGGTCAGTGGTAAAGGCTCCACCAACCCAACCAGTTCTGCCTCCTCAGACTATAATCCAGCAGCCTCAGCCATTAATTCAGCCACCACCCCTGGTGCAGAGCCAACTGCCTCAACCGCAGCCTCAGCCGCCACAAGCGCAGCAGCCACAAGGACCTCAGCCACAGGCCCAGCCTCACCAAGTGCAGCCCCCGCAGCCGCAGCTGCAGAACCGCTGGGTGGCGCCCCGGAACAGGGGGGCCGGCTTCAACCAGAACAATGGAGCGGGCAGTGAAAACTTTGGTCTAGGTGTCGTTCCTGTCAGCACTTCCCCGTCGAGTGTGGAAGTGCATCCCGTGCTGGAAAAGCTAAAGGCCATAAACAACTACAATCCCAAAGACTTTGACTGGAACCTGAAGAACGGACGTGTGTTTATAATTAAGAGCTATTCTGAGGACGACATACACCGTTCCATTAAGTACTCTATCTGGTGTAGTACTGAGCATGGGAATAAGCGTTTGGATGCGGCTTACCGTTCCCTGAATGGGAAAGGCCCACTCTATTTGCTCTTCAGTGTGAATGGCAGTGGACACTTCTGCGGAGTGGCTGAGATGAAGTCTGTTGTGGACTATAATGCGTATGCTGGTGTCTGGTCTCAGGATAAGTGGAAGGGCAAATTTGAAGTTAAATGGATCTTTGTCAAAGATGTCCCCACTAACCAATTACGGCATATTCGCTTAGAAAATAATGACAACAAACCAGTTACCAATTCAAGGGACACTCAAGAGGTACCCCTAGAAAAAGCTAAGCAAGTGCTTAAAATAATTGCTACTTTCAAGCATACCACCTCAATCTTTGATGACTTTGCACATTATGAAAAGCGTCAAGAAGAGGAGGAAGCCATGCGTAGGGTAAGAGTACAGTAATTTTTGTGTGTAGGGTCTTTTCATTGGGGTGGTGTGTATGATGGATAGTCTTTAATGCCTTGTGGTGTTATATTCTGAGTTTAAGGAAACTGACCACTTAGCTTATGGAACAGAACTCTACAAACATCCTTGAAGGCCTGGGATGCCTTCCCAAGGGTAACCCTTACTCTGAATTTGCCTCCTGCCTATTCTTCATACTTCTCAGATGATAAAGGTCTTTGAGTCCTGTTCATCAGAGCTCTGAGTTCTGTATTCGTTATTAAGAACTGGCTAAGGATTCTAGTCACTGATCTTTTAACTTTAATTTTATGGGAATATGTATTTGGAGTTTGAGACAAACAGCTTTTAAGTAAATGTTTGAGTGTTACTGATTTTGTCTTTATGATAAATAGATATTTTCCCTTAAGATTCCTGAGGCATATTTATAATTTGTGCACTTAATAGCGTTTGTACAGAACATATTGAATAGTGAGGATCCGACTTTAGCGAGACAGCTTAGAACTGAGATGAAGTGGACTTGGATGTACACTGCAGGATTCGGCTTCTGATTCTGTTATTTGTCCTCTGAGACTTTAAGGGAGACTGACCCTGAAGTTAAACACTGTTTACACTTGCCTCAGGTTGGCTAGGGTTTGATCACAGAGCAGGATGGGCTGAGGAATGTTTTCTGTTCCAAACTACAAAAGTAAATTGCAGAGTTCTGTTTTTAGGAGGAGAAGAGAATGGATGGAGTAGACAACTGGCAGATTTTTCCATTCATAATACATTTAAATTTCAAGTAAAGCAGAGCTCATTAGAAGCTTCTCCAGTAAGTTAAGTTGGTTACAATAGAAAGCTTCTATGTAGAAATGAAGATAAAGCAGGAACTTCAGCTTGTTCTGTATGTAAAACATCAGTGGTTTGTTTCTGTGTGAACCTAAGTATCTTGTGGCTTCTTAGTCTGGATGGAAGAGGGAACTGTTTCAAATAACAGTCCTCACTGCTCAATAATGTTGGAAATAATGATGCTAAGGCAGTAGTTCCCAAAACTTAGGCCATACAAATATCAGTTAAGGTGGTACTGCAGCTTCCTGGTACCGCAGCTTCTTGAATCCCACTCTAGGAAAATCTGATATGTTTGATCAGAGGCCTGGTGTGCAAGCATCTCGGGTGATTCTGCTGCTAGTGATCACTGTGGTGAATTTTGAGTACAATTCAGCACAATACAACTGACTGCAAAGCACTGCTCAGCCTTACCAATGAAATGCTGGCTATCTTTGAGTTTTCTTCAGGTTAAATGTGGGAAGTGAGGGAAAAAGAGGATCAAGAGTAGCTTTTTTGAGCTCAGCAGTTGAGTCAGTGGCCCCACTGTAAGCACCTTTACAGCGAGTGAATCAGAAGAACTGATTGCACTTTTCTTCCTCCCACCACTAAGGATAGGTCACCCTTGTACATATTCTCACATTTCTTCTCTACCCAATCTGAAAATTTATCCTAGTTTTATTTTTTTGTTATGTAATTGTCTCAGGAATTATTTATGTTTTATAATCATGTATATAACAAAGATTTAAACTATATTTTTAAACCTAAAATTTTCGCATTTAAATTGTTTCATGGCTTACTGCCATTCTTTTTATAACATGTCTGAATCCACCTTTGACATTTTAATTCTGAATCTTATTATCAATTTTTTTTTTTGGGGGGAGAGTAATTTGGTAATTATTAAGTGCTTCTAGATCCAAAAAATGCCTTTCTTTGGCCATGATATGTGAACAACAGTTTTATCTGGATATAGAAATCTTGGGTCACAGTCTTTTCATTCAGGCTTTGTTTTATAGTTTCTATTTATAGTATATTATTTATAGTTTTATGTTATGGAGAAGTCTGAGACCAGCCTAAATTTCTTTCTTTGGAAATAGCTGTTTCTCTGTGTGTGCACAAAATTTATTCTTGCAGTGTGAACATGTATGTGGGGTGTGTGCAATGTGGGTCTCTCATAATTTTACTTATTCCTTCATTTATAGGCCAAGTGTTTTTTATTCTCCCTAGTAATGGCAAGAAATAATACTGAATCTTGGGTCCTTCAGTGCCATTGGTTCTTATCTTTATTATTGTTCTTTGCATTTGGAGAATTTCTCAGAATTGAACTTCCATGTCATGGATTTGACTGTTTATTGACTCTGTAATTTGTAAGGCTTTCTGTACCTCACAGACAGCAGCAGTTTGCTTACATTATCACATCCACATCTCCTTTTATACCTGTTGTTTTCTTACCCGAATCACTTGTTTCAGAGCCCATCTTGATTTTATTGAGCACAAAGATGACTGTTAAAAGCTTATTTCTGCTTCCTGTAATTATCCTTTTTAGAAACTTCTTCCTTTTCCATAACTTATTTACCTTTCTCTTTTTAAAAATTAAAGTACAGTAAAGTTGAAAAATACCTTTTGCTGCCTCTTTCTAGTCAAGTGCTCCCTTCCCCCTTCTAGTAAGTAATTCTCTGATCTTTGTCTTTGTAAGGCATTTTCCATAATTTCACATAAATGAAATTACAGTATGTGAATTTTAATACTGGAGTCTTTTACTCAGCACTATATCTTTGGAATTTATGTTTTGCCAATCAGTTCTTTGTTCCTTTTAATTACTACCATTCCATTATATGGATTTACCACAGTTCATTAACTAATCATTCTTTGAAGGACATCTGGTTGCTTTCAGATTTGGAGAATGTAAAACTTCTATAAATGTTTGTGTTGTATATATCCTGAACAAAATTAAAAAAAAAAAATCTTACCATGAAAGTCACTTTTTTGGGGCGTACAGTTCTATGAATTGTTAACACATTTGTAGATTTGTGTAACTACCACAACCAGGTTATAGTATTCCCCCCTGATTATCTTTTTCTGCCCTCTTCATCTTTTATCTTTCCCCTGTGTCTGTCTGAACACATTGTAATTTTGTTAGTGTCTTTGTGTGTGTGTGTGTGTGTGTGAAAAATATTTTAAGACTCTGGCTTTTTTAATTTTTCCTATTATTAAACCATACAGAGATCATCTGGATCAGGTATTTGCCCTGAAATAGGTTTGTTTTTGTGTGGTGCTTTAGTACTTGTGTTAGTTGCATATTGTCTTTCCATTGCAGATATGGAAATGAGAGAGCCATGATATATTGGGTTGGCCAAAACATTTGATTGGGTTTTTCCAGAAGATGTGATGGAAAAACCTGAAAAAACTTTTTGGCCAACCCAGTATGTTGATGTTGCCAGTTAAGTGATTCATCAGTGAGGAGTAAGAAGGGAGAACCAGTGCAGTAGACATGCTAGTAGGTAAAATTTGACTTTGCTTAGACTTTGAAACCACCATGTCAGGAAATCATTTCCCCCGCTGATTAACTGTTTGGCGTTTGGGATGTCATGTGTCCTTGCCATTTTCTTCCTGGTACTGTTACTCAAATGTGTATTTCCTCTTAGATATGCTTGTGTTTGCACTCTAGCTTTCCAGCAAAAATTGCTTTCAGATGCTCTGGGCATCCTAGTGATAAAGGATGTGTTCCTTGTCTGTTATAGTCCTTTTTGGCTCCATCAGAAAGGACAAATCAGTGGTGTTTGCTAGGATTTCCTTTACTGGTTATGCCTTTTTTCTTTTTTAAATAAAAGGAGCAGCAAGTCATTATCCTAGTATTCACTTTTACTATGACACCTTCCGTCTTGTATTCAGCTGAAATTCCTCACAGCTTCTGATACCCTGGAAGTCACAGTTCCCCAGGTGACCTTGGGTAGAGTAGGGTTTCTTAAATGACACACGAAATGGAACTGCTTGTAAGAGAAAAGACTTAACTACTTGTAAGAGAAAAATTTGCCTGGATTAAAATCTGTTCATCAAAAGAAAGTTAAGTAAGTACTTAAAGGAAGTAATACTTTAAAGGAAGTAAAAAGACATGCTAGGAACTGGTAGGAATTTAACATAACTGACCAAAGACAGTTTTATATAAAGAACTCCTGTGAATTAGTTTAAGAAAAAAATAGTCCCATACAGAAATGGGCAAAAGATAAGGATAGTCCTTTTATGAGAGAGGAAACAAGTATGACTAGTAAGTATAAAAAAGTATTCACTCTTAATTCAGAAAATGAGAAAATGTTTTATATATATTACATATAAATAACATTATTATATATTAATAATATCAATATACTATATATTAAATATATAATATATATAATATAATAAATATATTTATATATTTATAAATATATATTATATATAATGAGAAAATATTTTATATCTACTCATTTGGCAAAATTAAGAAATTTGATAATAGCAAGTATTGGAGTGTATACCAACAAAATATCTTACATGTTTGCAGATGGGAGCATTAAATTGATATAGCAGGTAGTTTTGGGCGGGTAGTTTTGCATTTTCTTAATAAACCTGAACATTTCAATACCTTACAATTCAGCAGTTCTCCTCCAGGGTATGTACCTAAGAAAAACTTCCCACATACCCCAGAATACATACAAGAATGTTCTGAGGAGTGTAGTTGATAGTAATAAATAGCAGGAAACAACCTAAATGTCATCAGCAGGAAAAATGCTTGCATAATATTGGTTTTTTGAGAGTACATTTCATACATCATGGCTCTTTACCCCAGAAATATATTGTGTATATTTTCTAAGAATAAGGTTATTCTCTTAGTAACCATGATATTCTTTCAGTTGGTCCATAGTGTCCTTTTAAGTGTTCCGGGGTTTTTTAGCTTTTTTTTTTTTTTTTTTTTTTGGTAGTATAGGATCTAGGTTAAGATTGGAACAACCCAAGCAATTTTGAATAAGAACTATTTTAAAACATTTATGCTAACATAACTTCAAAATCTTTGCCTTCTTCAAGTTTGAGAAACTTTTTTCCTGTACTTTCTTTTTTTTGTTTTTCAGGCAGAGGAAGATTTATTATAAGAAAGAAAGTGACTGGCTTTAGAGAGAAACCAGTGCTCACCCTTTACAGCCAACCCTCCTTAGTTTATCTTTAGTACGAAGCTGGGGTCTTGTGATCATGGGTCTCACGGGCAGGTTTTCCTGTACTTTCTAATAGGACTTTTGTAATTTAAAATTTTACATTTAGTTTTGTGGTTACTGTAATTTCCTTTCTTTTCTTACTGTTTATGTTTTTCTTTGAGTTGTTGAGCCGACTTGCGGTAACAGAGAAGTGTAAAGAGCTAATTTCATCTTGTCGTTGCTAGATTTTTTTTTTTTTTTGACTAATTTTTTTCTTCCCCTTCTGGTTATTTTGGCAGTTGAGGAATTCCCCACCTTTCTTTGCCAGCACAGCACCCTATGGAGGAGCCGATCACACATATCCTGTTGGGTTATATAAAACTTGGAAAGTTCTAGTTATATAAAACTTGGAAAGCCAGATTTTCTCTTTTATAGTGAAAGGGTAGTTGTGAAGCTTAAAGCTAAAGGAAAAATGTATGCCAGTGTCATTGTAGTATTTGTATAGTTCTTCATTCTTAGATTTGAACACACAATGTTGATATATTTGATTAAAATCAAGCTTGACAAGGAAGAAAAAACAGGCAAGACGGATCCTCTAAAAAATTTTTTTTAATCTTTTTAAGCAAGTGGGTTAATACAATGTTAATGTTTTAGTTCTGAAATTTTAAATCAAAGAAGTTTCCAAATGTGGAGCAACAGTGATGAAAAATACAAGGAGTGGAAGACATGGTGGAAACGAGATCCACTGCCTCTAAAGGAAAAAACAGTCAGAGGGCAGAACGATTAAAGAGAACTCTCCAGAGCGAAGAGATGAATGTTTTCAGAATGAATGGGCTCACTGAGGAGCCAGCAAGATTATTTAAAATTTTTAAAGAAAAAAAAGGTAAAGAGACAAGCTTTCTGAGCAAAAGGCAGATTATATGTCTACTACCTGTAAGCTACAAAGGAAGGAGAGTCAGACTGCTATCAAAATTCTCTCATCTACAACTCTGGACACATATACAAAGTCTGATTTTGTTGTGTAGGGGAATGGGGCATAGAATCGGGCTCTTGAAGATGAGTGTTAAATTATATCAGTGAGGGACGAGTGCAAAATAAAGTTTTCAGGTGTACAAGAGCTTAGCTACATATCCTTGAAAAACTTGAAGAGGTATTTCAGCAGAATGAAAAAGGAATTCAGGAAGGATGACAGCTGCTAGCTGGTTACATTAGAACGAATATCCCTCTGTAGAGACTTCTGCGTTTCGAGTCAGACAGTCCTCATTGTACAGAGTGAATTTCAGGGCTGTAAGCATCTGCCTACTCTGTCTGTTAAATGGCATTGTGGTCTTTGAAGCCTGACAAAGACATGAGCCCTTGGTTGGGATGCCCTGAGCACTCTTGGTTGGAGTTGCTGTATGATTCTAGGATTATTTGCTGAATCCTTAGCACCTAATGCTTGGCCTGTAGTAGGCAAAGTCAAGGATAGTCACTGGAACTAAAATAGAATGAGCTCTGTTGTAGAGAAGAAGAGAATATAGCATTCACTGTGATAGCTTGCTCATCATATAGAATGGGAGGGTTTCCTTCATAGACCAGTCTGTAAAGAATCTGCCTGCAGTGCAGGAGACCTGGGTTCAATTCCTGGGTTGGGAAGATCCCCTGGAGAAGAAAATGGCAACCCACTCCAATATTCTTGCCTAGAGAATCCCATTGACAGAGGAGCCTGGCAGGCTACAGTCCATGGGGTCACAAGAGTCGGAACCAACTTAGCAACTAAACCACCACCGCTGCCATACAGTGGGAATCAATAGTGTCTGAACTGGCAAATCAAGAAATGTATATATTAGTGTGCCACTTAAAGCTTCAGTGGTAGCTTGTCAGAGGAAGTTAAAATAGAAAGGACTTGAGGAGGGTAGGGGAGCTTTACTTTCTTTAACTTGCAATTGTATGTGTTACTTCTAATGATAAAGCCAGTGTGATTGCAAAATAAAGAAAACAAAAAACTGCTAGTGTCTGGAATATATTTGCCCAGTATAAATTCTAGACTACATAGCCATCTTAACTATTTAGGTAACGTTTTACTGAAATTTTACCTTGTTATAATGACTGCATCATTTAATTTCTATATTCTTTCATTCTTATAAGTCTTTATTGATCAGTAAACAGACTGAGGTGAGATTTTTAGTTTAATAGCTTTTAAAGTTCCATATAAGAATAATTAGTGTTTTTGAGTACCTGTATCATTGAGGTGCACTTCTAAAATATGATACTCTTTCCTTAGAAAGAGATGAAGCCCTTTAAACTGAAACAAGCAAGACATGATTGTAATAGAGTTCCTATTAAATAGTTTTGATTTCCAGAACAGTCTGTATATTTTAGTCATTTATGCTATTTTATATTGTTGAGTATTTCCAAAGAGTAAGTTTTAGTCCCTGATAGAAGTTTTTTCACAATTGGAGCAATTTTGATTCTGAGATGAGATGATGTTAGGTCTGTCTCAGAGTAATCAAGTTTGTGTTGATACAGAAGAAATTACTTGAGCAGTAGGTATACCTTTGTCAACAGTAAACATTTTCCTGACAGTTCTATACTTCTTTTTCTCAAGTGGAATGTTTAGTTTAATGCTTTCTCATTGTCAGATTATAGTTGTTAACTGTTGTATGGTTGAAGTTGTCTGTTAGTGAGTTCATTATGGTGAACAGAAGCAAACAGTGTATAAAATCCCACTTTTCATTTGATCCTCACTGTAAAAGAAGATTTCTCTGGAAGATAGGTTTTGGCCCAGGATGTATCATACTTGATAGAATAAACTTATGTATTTAAGTGAGTAATTCTATGATAAAATCTTGAGTGGTCTGATCCTCACTGTAAAAGAAGATTTCTCTGGAAGATAGGTTTTGGCCCAGGATGTATCACACTTGATAGAATAAACTTACATTACATATTTAAGTGAGTAATTCTATGTTAAGACATTGAATGGTCTTCTGAATAGTCAAGATGATTCCATTTTTATTGTGGTAGTACTCTATTCTGAGCTTGGTAAATAACTCATATCTATTATGGTGTGAACAGTCAACCTTAAATTGAATGGTATTTCAACTGTTTCTTTTTCTTCAGCAGCAAATGCATGATTACAGTCAACCCTCCATGTCCACAGATAAGAACCTATCGATATGGAACCCATGGATACAGAGGGCCAGCTACTGTGAGGGCCTTGAGCGACCTTGGATTTTGATATCCACGGGGGTACTGGAACCACCTCCCTGAAGCACATAAAGTAAAAGACCTAGAATGTAAAAAAGTTACACTTGAACAGTTTCACTTACAAAGGACAGTCTGGATTATAATAAGTTTATTATTTTCATTTTAAGAGTCTAAAACCTCACTCCAAAATAGGGTTGCGTATTGATTCCTCTGCTTGTTTTTAAGAACTTGTTACTGGGTCCCAGATAAGTTCCCCCACACCCCTCCCCCCACCAGAACGCTAGCATGTATCTTGTGCTAGTAGTCATCCTTTATCACCGTATATTTAGATCATATGTGTTCTTTTCTTAACTGTTCCCTTATTCATTCAACAGATAAATATTAAAGGTTTACCAGTAAGCCACTTAAGGTAAATAGCCCTTGCTCTGTAGAACTAAGTTTTGGGGAAAGACAAATATAATTGTAGTAAAATTTTGTTGTTTTCACTGTTGAAAACTTCATGACTCTTACAGAATTTTTTTGCTAAGTATTTTATATTTTTTTCTGCTCTAATAATTTGTATTTTCAGTCTTCCCAGTTGTTTGCTGCAAGCTTATAGAAATGTCCTATATTGTGTGACCTTGCTAAATTCACATATTAATTCTAGTAGTTCTAATAGAACATCTTTAGGATTTCCTGCCTAACAGTCATATCATCTGCCAGTAGAGAGACCATTTGATTTCTTTTTGATTTTTATGCTTTTTTCTTTTTTTTATGCTTTTTTCTTAAAGTTTATTACTTATATAGTATTACTTAAACCTAAAGATAATAGGAAGTAAGTCATTTACCTGTTACGTTTAGGTGATGACCCCTCTGAGGACACTGAAGAAAATTTTTGTTTTCAGCTCTCTTCTGCCTTTAAGGGTAGGGGAGTTCTTAGCTCATCTTTTAAGCTGTGTCAAAAAGACATGGGCTGATGAGTAAACTTCCCCCCAGAGTTTATCTCCACAGGCCGAATTCTAGGTGTTGGTCTTGAGATCTCCAGTGCCTTTACTGCTATCTGGCTGGGGAAGAAGCCATCAGATATCTGCATCTGCTCGGTTGAAACCTAGCCCTCTATTCATGGAGAAGAGCTGGAGGAGAGATTTTTCTGCAGACTTTTTTTTTTTTTTTTTGAATTGTCCTTGTTAAAAGTAAAAATTGAGTTCTGTGAATCACTTTGGAAAATTTGTATTCTAAGGATGTCTGAAGTGCTGTCTGCTGAACCAGCGCTAGAGGCTTCATCCTTTTCAAGGTCTCCTGGGCCTTGGCTCCTTTGTGTAATTCAGGTTTCCTATCTATCTGTGTTCCTTCATATAACACACTGGGACATGTAATTATGACCTCAGCTGTGTCATATGTGCCTGGTTTTAAAACAACACTAAAAGTTATATCACTGATAGATAGCTCATTATTTCTTGTCTCATGTTTTTAGTGGTCTATGGCTAATAGCACATCCAGAGATTTCTCATATTCAAATGTTTAATACTGACAATATCAAGCACTATTCTAGATCTTGTCATATAAATATGGGGTACTTGACGGTTTTTGCCTAAAGCAGAGGTGTTGATGACCTTGTAGATTTCAGAAGGAATTGAATTTTGTTGAAGGACGTTATACCATGCTGAGGACTTGCAAATTTGTATACTCACCTTGGACCTTTAGACTCATGTATCTGATTGCCTATGTAATTTCTTCACTTAGTTTCATAAGCATCTTAAATCCAATATGGCTTCTGTTTCTTTGCCTGCCCCTGACCTGCCCCCACTTTGTAGAGGGCCATTGTCCTTCCAGAATAATTTGATATTTCTCTTTCACACTCCATAGCTAACCAGTCTGTTGGTCAGTCTTGTTGGCTCTGTTTTCAGAATATATCCTGAATCCAAGCACTTCTCACTAGCCCTGCATCCTTCATTTATCATTACCATGCTGGAGGAGCATTGTGCTGTCCTTACTGCCTTCCTGCACCCCTGTGCTCCTCTCTACTCGGTTATCGTCAGAGCAGCCCGTGAGAGAGCCTTTCGGGACAAGTGAGACTGGATTCAATTTTCTCATGCTTCTCTGAAGTTAGTATCAAAGTATTACTAACTTCAAAATGGGTCAAGCAATATTCTGTCTTTTCATTATCTCTAATTCTGGGATAATTAATCAAATGTATTTATGAAACCATGAATCTGGTAGTTTTTAGTTTGCTGTAGATTTTTAATTGTCGGTTAAAGTTCTTTAGTTTTTATAAGTCTCTTCAAGTTTTCTTTTTACTGTTGAATTTGTTTTGGTACATTGTATTTAATAAATTATATTTTTAGCAAGTTGTTGGTATTGTCTCAAACTTTTTTGGCACGTTGGCATTTGCGACCCTATGGACTGTTGTCTTCCAGGGTCCTCTGTCCATGAGATTCTTCAGGCAAGAATACTGGAGTGGGTAGCATGCCCTACTCCAGGGGATCTTTCTTGCCCAGGAATCAAGCCGCAGTCTCCCACATCGCAGGCAGATACTTTACTCTCTGAGCCACCAGGGACGCCCCATATTGGTGTTAATAGTATTTTAAATTTTTTTAGCTATATCAGTCCTCATATTATTTATGCTTTCTTTTTTTAAAATGAGACTTCCTAGAGGTTTTTCTATTGTTAGCTGCTTTTACCCCCTCCTCCCAACACCAGCTTTTATTTTTGTTTTCTTGTGCTTTGTTTTTTGTTTTCTGTCATTTTCTCCTGGGTCTTATTTCGGTTATTCTACTTTGAGGGACTTAACTGCTGCTCGTTTCCTAACATACTGAGTGGATGATGAGCTCATTTTTCAGCTGATTGGATGATGAGCTCATTTTTCAGCTGATTTTTCAAATCAACACTTGTAAATTTCTAAGTGCTATTTGAGGGCTTAGATTTAGTATATTGCACTGGTGTAAAAACTTTGGAATTTTTGTTATGGTTTTTGGGAGACTTTTAGAAGTGTTTTAGAATTTCCAGTGTGGAAAGATTTCGTTGTTGTTACCTGTTTCCTGTTCAAATTGATGTCAGAAAATGTGATCTCTATGATACCAATTCCTTGGTATTTAGATTCATTTTCTGGTCTAACATGTAGTTCCTTTTTGTAATTGTTCATTGTGTACCCTGCTGTAATTATTTGGCTCAGTTTTCTGTATATTCAGTCTTTATTTTCACCAATTTGTCTTTAGCAATTACTGAAAGAAATGTGTTTAATTCTCCTACTATAATTAAGAACCTGTCAGATTTTCTTTGTAATTCTGACAACTTTTTAATGTATGTAAAGTTGTATTTTTAGCTTAATACTGTTGTAACTCTTCATAAAATATGTTTTTCACTCAATATGTGATTGTTTATCTCTAACAATGGTTTTTGCCTTTAGAATCCACTATATATACACACATATATATCTGCTATATAACTGTATATATCAATCAAGTATATACAGTTGATTGATTCAGTCTTCATCTGGATTGTTTTTCACTATTTTTAACTTTTCTGTCTCCTTATGTTTAAGGTTAATTTCTTGTAAATCATTTTTTTAATATGAATTTGAGCTCTTTTGTGTTTCTGTTGATGAACCTACATGTTTTGATTGCTTGATGTGAATGTGTACTTCTGCCACTTTATATTTTGTGCTTTCTCATGAATCATTTCATGGGGAAGAATGAACGGTGAGCCATTCTTTACCTCCTGTGTTTTATAATCCAGCTAATTTTAGCAGGCTTCACCATTTCTCATACAAATCTGTTTCCTTCAGCTGGGAAATAAACTTACTTTATGTTTAGGCTGATTTTTTTTTTTTTTTTTAAGCTTTAGGTACCTTGTAAAATTAGACTATAACTTCCTGGTTCCAAATTATTATTTTTTTCTAATTTTGGGGGGTCTCTTTTTCCTTTATGTTGTTGGGGTTTTGTTTTTGTTTATCCTTTTGAAAGTTAGCTCACTTTGTGTCTGTCTTTATTTTTGTTTTATTCTTTAATTTCAGAATATTCCCCTGATATTTATGGGTGCATAAAATAATTTGTAGTATTTGTATAGTAGGACATTTATTTGTTAAACTTTCTGTATTAAATACTGTGATTCAAGTTGTTGAAATATACACAAGTGAAGAAGGAAGGGCTTTAGTAGCAAAGAACTTTAGATTGTCTTTAAAATTTTAAATAGTTTCCTGATGTCGCAGAGGGTGGGACATTAATTTGACCATTTTCAAAGTATGCACATACTTATTATGGAACCTGTATTACTCATGAAAAAGGAGTAGTGTAACCAAAAATAGAGTCTTGGGATGTATTAGACACAAGTGGCTTTCAAACTGTGCTCCTTGGACTGGAAGCATTAGATCACTTGTGAACTTGTTAGAATTGCAGGCCCAAAGATAAGTATTGCAGGTGGATATTTGATTAATAACCATCATGAAAACATCACTCAGTTCAACTCTTGTTCAAGGGATTTCTGCTTTCTTAAAAGGAATTATTAGTAATAAGTATTAATATTTATTCATATGAAGAATTATGCCGAATGTGAGAGTATGATATGGAGAAATTAACACTGAAAGCTTAATTTAATGCAACTTTAATGCACCTCTTTTCCTTTCCTCCCAACCATAATGCACCTCTTTTCCTTTCCTCCCAACCATACCTCAGCCAGTAGTTCTCAGATTGCTTCACAGGACTTACAGTCTGTTTGATACTTAACCATCAGGAACTCATGGAAGGGGCTAGAAAGACATTTATTGTAGTAGTCTCACCTAAACAAAATTCTGTGGGGAAATAGGGCTGTGGAAGGGACCTATAATCTCTTGAACTGGGTCTTTGTGTTTGGAATTGTTCATTTTAAAATGGCTTGTGGTACTCCCACTGAGGTGTGTGTAGGTAATAGTGAATTGTTTTTACCTAACTACTTGGAGTATTTGAAGAACTTCTCATGGACGTGGTTTACTTTCTATGTGCATCTAATTTAAATCGCTAAATAATGATGATGATTCCTTAAAGGTCTTTGTGTTTTTCTTTCAGGAGAGAAATAGAAACAAACAATAACCCTATGAAGATGTCCTGTTAGAATTACAACACTAATGATGTAGACTCTGGAAATGCCTAATAAGTCAAAGAAGGCGTTATTAAAGCTTTTTTCTGCTTAAGGTGACATCTCTGAACTCTAACAACACAGAATGGACTCTTGTAATGGTTTTCATCAGCGCGTCTGCCCTTATACTCTCACCAAACACACTTGAGAACTGTAACTCCGTCAAGCACTTTCTGTCCTGAAGCTTTTACCAGTATCTGCTGTCTTTTGTAATTATGCATCCTAGCTAAGGCACAGAAGACTGAATGAATGCAAGGATTCATTAACTCTTTGAATTTGTTAAATACTAACAGTTAACCATTAGAAGTGGTTCAATGATGTAAGAGTCAGACTGCTTCAACTTTTTCTTTGTTGTAGTTTTTAAATTGTCAATTTTTAGCTATTTGACAGATTAAAAGCAAAAGAATCATGCCATACTTAGTCCTGGAGTTCAAGTCTAAATGTTTATGTGAAAATTATTGTAGTAAACTTTTAATATGGCAAAGCAACCTTAAGCTCTATTTTAGCCAAATGAAACATAATCTGAGATTATATTAGAACATTTCCCTTGTCTTCAAACTGTTTGGTGTAACAGAATATTGATATGCAGCTTGGTGGGTCTCACCAGTTAATGCACATTCTTCTCCCCTCCTTCCCCCAATAATATGTATACTGAAAAATGTGCATTTGTCTGAGGAATTATTTTGTTTGCTACCACTTAATGAATCTCAAAATTTTGAGTAATGTACCTCAGTCTAATCAGACTTTTTATGACCTTTATAACTACATTTAAAACCCTTAATTCCTATTTCTGGGTGTTTGCGAGCCTGATTGCTATCATGAAGTAAAAATTTATTACTCTAGGTATTCACTAGCTAAATAAACATAGTTCTTGTTTAGCAAGCATATATTGTTCCTCAACTCCTTTCTCCGGCTTTTGCGGTGTCCTGGCATCCTTAAAATATTTGAAAATATGGCCTTGATCCATGGATTAAATCAGTATCTAAGTGAATGTGTTGATGTTTTATTGATCAGATCTATATAAATGGGAATACAGCATATATCTGGGTATTCTTATAGTTATCTTTTTAACATCTTATTTTTTTCATTAATGACATATCAACGTTAATTTTGTATCTTGAAACAAATTGATTTTGTATAATTAAACATGTCAAGCATCTGTATTACCTGATTTGATGGCATATGGTTATGAAATAATGTACTGCCCCTTATATTACGGTTCCAAAAGGAGAAAGCTATGTAGAAAGATACATTAAGGATGGAAATAGCAATATATAGTAGATTTGAATACCTTGATGTTTTGCATTACTCCACTTATGTTTACATCATGTTTAGAAATGTTTTCATTACTCTGGTCTTTGGTCACTTCAACTCAAAAATTTAGTGACAGATATTTCTTTGACGCTTTCATTTATATGATTTTTTTTTGTACAATATTTTCTTAAAATGTACAAATACTGTATTCAGGTGAAAAAAATACAGTATTTGTAGATAAATTGTAGTGACTTGACAGTGCTTTGGTAGTCCCAGCATAGTCATCAGTGTTTACTGAAGGGAACATCAAAATATTAATAGTGTATTACAAAAATCAAGACTTTCTTAAAGGAAAATTGCACCTATTTTACCTTTTTCAGAGTAAGCCATGAAATCTTGTAAGATATCTCTTAACTATTTATAAGGAAAACTGGCGTTTGGGTGTGGTCCCCGCAGCAGCGGTCCACATCCCTTGGATTACGTAGGTAGGACGGGTCAGAGAAGACCGTTGCCACTCTGAAGGTCCTGTGGGAGAAAACTGTGCGGAGTGACCTTGTAGAAAGGCTCTGAGTCCTCTGAGCTTCTCTTTTTCTCGGTGCTTTATTAGCAACTCTGAATATTTTTTATAAAACTAGTTGTTACATTATTCACAGATCGAAACTTGTTTAATTTACAGTAGGTTTCTGTGTAAGAAATGTCACAGAACTCTCAGCAGGCAGGCTGATTACAATAGCAGACTCAGAAGTGTCACCTGTAGTTCTACTCGTGGTGAGGAGTTCCTCCCAGTGCCTTTAACCTGGATTTCTAATATTAAGTGAAATGGGTGCAGCATTCCTTTGGGAAAAACGAAAACAAAACTTTTCAATCGGTGAAATTTTTTTTTTCCCCTCATTTAAGTTTTCTTCAGAGTACCTGTTTTCTCTCCCTTCTTGGTATGTCAATGTACAGCAGAATATTTTTCCTCTTAAGTGAAAGGATCGCAGGTTGTCTCGTTAGCACAAGGGACGGGAGGTTTCCTAACTTCCGGGACCCAGAAGGGTGAGAAACCGGGCTCTTCAACAGGAGACTGACCCGATGTTTTGAGCAATCACAGATTGAGACATTATTGACCCAGTAAACTCCTTGCCTAATGTTTTTCCAAGATCTGGTTTGAATGTTTCTTAATTAAAGTTATCTTATATGGGTGTTTTATTTTGAAAGGTATTATATAGTTTGTATATTTAACAGTAAGGGGGAAAATGTAACCAAAATTAGTATTCTTTCTCTATACATGCTGGTACTTGAAGATTCCTTTCAGAAGAAACCCCAGCCTTTCCCTGAGTTCAGTCCTCGTTTTAACTGAAGTGATCTTTTTAATTCTGAAGCTGTGTTCTTTTTGAATACCGTGCATGGGGGTTAAAGCTGATGTTAAAACAGTTTGCAATAAAAAAAAAAAAAGAATCAGCTTACGTCATTTAATCATTTCAAGTGCATTCTGCATCCTATAAACATAAGTTTGAGAAATTTAAGAGAATTGTGTTTCATTAAGTTTTGCATATCTTTTGTTATGCCATGTAAATTCCCTTCTTTTTCATATGATTAAAGAAAGGTTATGATTAAATGATTAGTTCATTTACATTCACTTGTAGCAATTACATGAGAATTTGAATTTTGTCGTGTTTGGGTTTGTTCATTCCTGTGAATGATGGTACAGTTAGGTGAGATTTTCTGTTATGGTACCCAAACTCACCATTTGATCCTCTTTAATCTTTGAGGGTTTCAATAAAAATTGTTCACTCATATCTGTGTTCTTTCCATTTTATCTTTATAAATATGCATTGCCTTCCAGAAAAATGTTAACATTTTTGCCAACTCTGTTATGAATTTCCTGATTGACATATCTCTCGAGTACAAAGAGATTATATCAGATTTAGTTGGCCATTTGAAATTAAGTAGGGGAATTAAAGAGAGGAGGAAGGTTAACAGTTTATCCTAATCTTTATCCACTCCAGTGAGCTTATTGAATTACATACCATTAATACTAAACTTAGAGCAAAAGAGAAAGAGGCTTATTTAATGGGAGGAAGTCTTAGCACCAGCTGTCTAATGACCATAATCCCTCATTCTTGGGACTAGGGAATGCTTTTTAATAGTGTGTACATTATCCTTTAGGCTGGTTACAGCTGATGGAGGTAGGGTGGTGGTGACTCTGAATGGTGTGTTGGTAATCTGCTGGGCTCTGTAAAGCAGTTGTTCAGATGGGGGAAACCAGAGTTTAGTTTTGTGCTGCATACAACACAGTTAGCCTACGATCAGGACATTGTTTTACAGACACCCCAGGTGTCCACACTGGCATCACTGGAAGCCACCTTCTTACTGTTCATCTCCTAAAGAGAAGGTTTGCCTCACTTCAGCAGCTTATATTTGAGGCTACTTGCTTCTTGTTGGGACTCTTACTGGCTTGGCTTTATCTTCATGACATTAGATTCAGTAATTCTAGCCTAGGAACTAAAATAATCTTGCAGTTAGAAGTTAAGTGACCTAAGTCGTTTGCTTTCTTAAAACAGTTGACCCATGAACAGCACAGGTTTGAACTACATGGGTCCACTTGTACATGGACTTTTTTTAGTAGTAAATATGAGTGTACTGCACAATCAGGTTGACTGAATCCATGGACTCAAAGAGTCAGTAGTACTTGTCATTTCCTAATCTTGACATGTAATCTTTCCCCATCTCTTGGTGCAATAATAGTGAGGAGCAGAACTCTCCTGTCGATCACCCACAGATAGGACAGTTTAGATATAATTTATTTATAAACATTGCACTGAATTCAGAATGTGTCTAGTCCATAACTTGAGATATTTGTACAACATTGGAACTAATTGTAAATAAAAGTTGTCCTTGTAAAATTTAGTGTTCAAGTGACATGTGAGTTCAGAGTTTGTAGCACTGGGGTGGGCTTCCACATCCCTTCCTGCTACCCTGGGCCCTTCTGAAGAATAGCCCTTACTAGCACACTCCGAGGTTAGCTACTGGACTGTCATTCTGAAACATCGTTGGCTCCTTCTGACATGTTTGTAGCCAGAGTGGAATTATTGTATAGAGGAGGATCTTAGAATTGGAAATTGGAAAGTCAGACTTACACAGTTACTCTCTTTTTCCCTCAGGAAGTTTACCCATTTCATGGATAGGTTACAAGTGCTCTACATTTTACCCTATTAATGTAGAAAATACTGAAATAGAAGCTGCTCTGTAAAACGAAAGACAAAACATTGTATCCAAAGATAAACTATGTTTTACACAATGGTCCCTTTTCCCTTAGTATTAAATTTTAAATATTTCTTCTTGTTAAAATGACTATTTTACATACTCCTTATCTACATCACAAACATAGCTCAGTAATTCTCATACTGTTTCTAGAGGCTTGTAATAGGAAGCGCACACGAGTCCTAACTGGTAGACTGACGCTGAACAGATGACTGTGCAGATGACTGCACTTGATAAGTTCAGGAGGTTGGCATAGAATGCATCTTAGGTTCTTTGCAGTTCTGAATTTTTACAACTTTATGATTTAAATCACTTTCTAAGCTTGACTTACTCCAGCAATAACGAGTGTTCATTTAAAAGTAAGTCTGGAAACCAGTAGAATTTGTGATGGTTATCTTTTGTTCATTTCAAAATATAGGTACTGAAAACCTCAAATTATATTTGATTAATTGCCTCTGATAAAATACAACCACTGCTTCCTTTCAGTGAGTCTCGAAGTCTAGTGGTTCAAATCTTCATCTTTTCCACAGTGTTTGTATAAAGCAAGAGAATGTGTGTCCTAAAGAAATCCAGTCCATTTTTTTATTCTGCCATTTTGCATTAATCCTTTTCTTTTTTCAAATAGACTGTTTTTCAGAACAATGAGACCCGGGTTCAATCCCTGGGTCAGGAAGATCTCCTGGAGAAGGAAATGGTAACCCACTCCAGTATTCTTGCCTGGAAAATCCCATGGACGGAGGAGCCTGGTAGGCTAGTACAGTCCCTGGGGTCGCAAAGAGTCGGAAAGAGGCGGAGACGACTGAGCGACTTCACTTTCACTTTTCACAGAACAGTTGAGAAAATGGTACAGAGAGTTTCCATCTACTATGCACCCAGGTTCCTTGTTAATATCTGCCATTAGTCTGGTACATATGTTGTAATCAATGGATCGGTATTGATGTTATTTTTTTCTGATTTTTGTGTGTTTTTACCGAATGTCCTTTCTCTGGTTCAGGGTGCCATCAAGGATAGATACCACGTTACTTTCAGTTGTCATGTCTCCTTAGATTCCTCTTGACTGAGATGGTTTCTCACACTTGGTTTTGATGACCTTGGTTAGTACTGAGAAGAACTGGTCAAATATTTTGGAAAGTACTTTGGAAAGTATGTCTTTCTTATGATTAGACTGGGGTTACAAGTTTTGGGGAGGAAGGCCACACACGGGTAAAGCTGCCATTTCTACCACATCATGTCAAGGATACATACCACCAACACACACCTGTTGATTTGACTTTGGCCGCTTGGCTCTGGTGGTGTCAGATTTCTCTACTATAAAGTCACTCTTTTTCCCTCCTTTCCACACTGGGCTTTGGAAGGAAGTCACACTCCGTACTTGAGTAGACAGTTACAATCCTTGTGTTTATAAAGAGGAATATAGGAATCTTACTACCTAGGCTCATCCTGGCAGGCTCGTGTGTCCTTTTTACTTTTTTTAATTGGAGGATAATTGCTTTACAATGTTATGTTGGTTTCTACCGTTCGAAAATGTGAATCAGCCGTAAGTATACTTACATCCCCTCCATCCTGACCCTCCCACCCCACTCCTCTAGGTCGTCACAGAGCACCGGATACAGCAGCTTCCCCATGTATTTCACACGTGATCATGTGTGTATGTCAGTGCTACTCTCTTACTTTTATCTCTTTAGAGCTACCCTCCCCTCTTTCTTCATTTCTCAACAGTTAGTTGTATTTTGGCGGAATTCTAATAGAGATTCCTACCTCCTTCCTGAATGAATCCTAATTGTGTGTATAACGGTGCAGAGGTTTTAATAAAGGGATTGAAGGTGTATTAATAGGGAAAATTTAGATGATGGCTGGTTATCTTGGTCTTATGTATAAGAACAGATAGTCATTCAAATTTGCCTGGATTGAAAAGCCAGAGGTAGGAGTTAAACAGAATATTATCGTTAGAATGATGCATTCCTTTTAAAGAAGGTGATTTAAGTAGTTTGGCATCCTTTTTGATGGAATGGTTTTGAAATATTTCTGAGTCTGCTGCATGATATTCTTGCCAAGAGCGTAGACTTTGGAGGCCGATAAACCTGTACTGGAATCTGGGTGCACTAGGCTCTGAGCCTAGATTTCCTCATCAGTTAGAAAAATAAAGGAATGAGTATTAGTCACTCAATCGTGTCTGACTCTTTGCGACCCCATAAACTGTAGCCCGCCAGGCTCCTCTGTCCATGGAATTCTCTTGGTAAGAATACTGGAGTGGGTTGCCATTTCCTTCTCCAGGGGATCTTCCTGACCCAGGGATCGAACCCAAGTCTCCTGCATTGTGGCAGGTTCTTTACTGTCTGAGCCTCCTGGGAAGCCCCAGAAGGGGTGAGAGTGTAGCCTATTTCAGAAGGATTAAGTAAAAGTGAGCACAATCCCCGGGTCTGTGGCAAGACTTTTAAGTGTTAACTTTCTTTTGTTTCATATGGAAAATTTAGGATTTATTGATTACCACTGGACATTTCTTAGGGTAATTTTCACTGCTCAGATGCAGTAGAAAGTTTATTTTCAGTTCATAATGTTATATGATTGAGATCCTGAGAATAGGCACTGCCTGTCTAAAGCTTAGTTAAATTATTATTTATCTTTGTTTTTTGCAATTTGGGGTTTTCAGTGACTGTTAGCCATTGTTTTTCAAAGTAAGTGAACTGCAACAATACAGTTATTTTATTCCGCTAGAGCAGAGCAGATGGCAAAACCAAAGGCAAATTAGACTAAAAGGAGAGCAAATGGGAGAATAGCAAAAATATCTATAAGCAATATAAGAAAATAAAGCCAAAGATGAAATCAGATCAAGAAATTTTGGTGTAACTAGGACTGGCACTGCTAAGTAAATGTGTGTGCTTAATTGCTCAGTTGTGTCCAGCTCTTTGCAACCCATTGGACTGTAGGCGCCAAGCTCTTCCGTCCATGAAATTTTTCAGGCAAGAATACTGGAGTGGCTGCCATTTCCTTCTCCAGGATCTTTGTGACCCAGGGATTGAACTCGCATCTCCTGTGTCTCTTGTGATGCAGGTGGATTATTTACCTGCTGCTGCTGCTAAGTCGCTTCAGTTGTGTCCAACCCTGTGCGACCCCATAGACGGCAGCCCACCAGGCTCCCCCGTCCCTGGGATTCTCAAGGCAAGAACACTGGAGTGGTTGACATTTCCTTCTCCAATGTGTGAAAGCGGAAAGTGAAAGTGAAGTCGCTCAGTCATGTCCGACTTGTAGCGACCTGATGGACTGCAGCCTATCAGGCTCCATGGGATTCTCCAGACAAGAGTACTGGAGTGGGGTGCCATTGCCTTCTCCATTTACCTGCTAAGCAATAAATAAATACTAAAAAAAAAAAAAGAAAAACGTTTGCTTTGCCTGTTACAAATGCCCCTTGATATCCATGCCACTTAAGTATGTTAGTGAATTATAAGAGCTTCACTATGAATGTTTACTAACAATTCGAAATGGAAACTAAGGTGGATGTGTTACCCCCATATGTCATTGGTAATATTGTACAG